CCCCCCCTCCCTCTCGCGCGTTCAAATCGGAGGTATAGGTATGTAGTTGTAGATACTGCTGTATCCCTGCCGAGAGCCGGCGTTCGGTAAAGAGAACCTCGTCCTTCTGCCTCGTACACTCGTTCTAGGAAAATGTTGATGTCGCTCTCGTTCTCTCGTGCGCTCTCTCCACAATCCATTTTTTCCCTTTTCAGCTGTGTCTCTCTCTCTGTGTCTCTCGTGCTTGCGAAACATCGCAGAAGGGGTTCGCGCAGCCGGCGACGATGTGGAAATGCCGGAAGCGGCAGGAGCTTCGGATCCTTTAGGTGTGGGCAGGAGCAGGAACTAAGGACTAAGGACGTTCATTTTGTTTCGTTGTTTGTATGGCACTTGTGGTGTGGTGGGGGGTGGAATAACAATCGTATTTTTTTGGTCTGCAGGCCCCATATTGTACGGTGTACACCGCACCCCCTTGACGGTTCTTCAATTGCTCGATTGAAGAACAACCAATATGGTCCCTATGGTACATAATGGTACTATGGTACCCGTGCCGAACAATACGCTTTCCGAAACCTCTCGGCAATATATGCTTCCCTGCAAGTAACGTGTCTGTTATTTAAACAAGTGCCTACACACCACTCTTGTCTGATTGACTGCAACACAGGCAGCGGATCCTCGTCATCTCCTCCTGGCGCCTGGAGCAAGCACAAACCCTGCCCCACCACGTCCGCCCATCGTTTGTTTATCCCCCGGTATGACCATTATCATACAGCCGTCGCGGANTCATTTTGTTTCGTTGTTTGTATGGCACTTGTGGTGTGGTGGGGGGTGGAATAACAATCGTATTTTTTTGGTCTGCAGGCCCCATATTGTACGGTGTACACCGCACCCCCTTGACGGTTCTTCAATTGCTCGATTGAAGAACAACCAATATGGTCCCTATGGTACAAAATGGTACTATGGTACCCGTGCCGAACAATACGTTTTCCGAAACCTCTCGGCAATATATGCTTCCCTGCAAGTAACGTGTCTGTTATTTAAACAAGTGCCTACACACCACTCTTGTCTGATTGACTGCAACACAGGCAGCGGATCCTCGTCATCTCCTCCTGGCGCCTGGAGCAAGCACAAACCCTGCCCCACCACGTCCGCCCATCGTTTGTTTATCCCCCGGTATGACCATTATCATACAGCCGTCGCGGATTACCAGGCAGGACACGTGTTCGAAGTGGTCGACGGAGCCGACAGCAAGACGACTTGGGAACCGATCGAGGCTCAGCTCCAAGCGCATTTCGGCTCCACCGGCCGGATACGTGGTCATGAGGAGGAACAGCATGAGGGTGAGGAGGCCCCGATTACGTATTCGTATAGGTCGCGATGTGTGTGGAGAACAGTAAGGGGTTAGGTTGTGAAGGGCAAGGTGTGCCTGCTGTTTGCTGTTTATTCCGCTGTTCCGTTATTGACCAAATCGGTCCGCTCATTTTCTGAACATGTGGCATTCCGCTTGAAAGGGATAGGGTGCGCTAACATTAGGCGCTTAGGGGCAAGGGTTAGACGGTGGTGTGTGAAGCGCATGCACTGTATTTAAGTGCCGCGGAGGTCTGCCTCTTGTTGCTACTTAGACCGTGTGAACACGCTAGGCGCACGTGTGCACAACACACACCAAACAAAGTAAACAAACCACACAGGGTTAGGCGAAAGACACGAGAGGGTCGACAGACTCTGGTACTGCTGCTGTAGGCCTGCCCCTACCCTTCCACCGCTCTTCCGCCCTCTTTCACGAGGAACACAAACATCGCGCTACCCGTTTCCCGCCTCCCTCATTCCCTACATTCCTTATACAGTAAAGGCATAGTAATTGTTTGAGACCGACAGGTGAACTTCATTGTCCTCCCTCTCGTTTGGGCTGCGCGCTACACCCCCCTCCAGCCGAAGAAGAGAAAGAGCGACACCTCAGCTGGGTTGTTAAGATGGTGTGTAGTCAAGTTCGAGTGCAGGAGCTTCGGCACTCCCCGACGGACTGTGAAGACACCAAACTCCTAAGCTCGGCGACATTGCAAATCATTTAAGGTAGCGTTTGTTGTCAATGGAAAGCACTATACATGTGTAGCGTACGCGTGTGCGTCGAGTTTATTAGGGGTTTGTTAGGATCACCAAGCACGAGTCCGCAACCGTACGGGTGGCAATCAGTTTAGGCAGAGCGACTTGTTTTTGTATGTCTGCATATATTTGTATCCACCGCACCCACTGGTGCAGCCTGTACAGTAGCGCAACTGTTCGGCACTGTATGATGGGTGTTGATGATGTCCTCCCTCCCCCCCCCCCCCCCCCCCCCCCCCCCCCCCCCCCCCCCCCCCCNGGGTCGTCCTTGGTCAACAGAAGGGCTGCACGTTCCATATCATCGTCAACTGGATCAACATGTCGGCCCCGACCATCGGCAACGTGAGTTAGCACGTTAAATTCATTGTTGCCCGTTGACGCCGGAGATGGGCTGGTATCCAAACCCTTGGCCGTTATTTTGTTGTGTCGTTCGTCGGCATGCTGTTGTACAAACCCGTCGCTCTGGTGAGGTCCTTCAGCAGCCCCCTGCACATCGATTTGTTCTTATTATTTCACAGGCATCGGTCATGACACACAACCACGACCCTCCGGAAGATACAAGGCCGAACCAAATGAAGGAAGCGGAGGTGACGGCTGAAGAGGACGTGGTTCGAGAGCTCTGCAAGACTGATTTGCCGACGGCGTCGATCTGTCGGTATCTGGAGCGGGACGGCAACCTCCTCGGTTATGCCGGGACACAGCAGGCGAGACCACTCATGAGGAGGACGTGGCCCTTGGTCGCTATGTGTGCGCTCGCTCTGGTAGAAAAATTAACTTAGGCATGGGGATGATATAGATGCAGTCCCATTTGTGTTGTGTATGTAGGCACATGCGGCGACCCTTGCTAAACCCTCCGTCGTGACTTTTGCATGGACGTCGACGACAACGTCCTAATCGTGGCTCTACCGCCTGCTGTTGACTGTTGCACCTTGCGGCAGGTGACGAACATGGTGGCCAAGTTTCGTGGCAGGAGGCAAACCAGTGCGAGCAACGGCAGCTTGGTGCTCCTCGACAAGATCCAGGCGGCGGAGGGTCACTATCTAGCTTTTACGCTAGACGCCGACGGGTTGCTGGAGCGGGTTTTCTGGGCCTATCGAGGACAGCGGGCTAACGCCGTGAAGTACGGCTCGGTCGTCATCTTGGACACCACGTTCAACACAAACGAGTGAGTGATTGGGCGTGTCGAAGTTGGGGGTGTGAAGTTTCCCGGTCTCGTGCCCTTGCTTCCGTCCAGAGGGTTGTCCTGGCGGTTGGCAGGACCCCCATGCTTGTGGGTGCTTCTGTTGTCATGATAGATAAATTGACGAATTGGTGCGGATGGGTAAAAACGACGACGAAATAAGCAAGTAGTACCAGCCCTTCGAAGCCAGGATTGGCGCCAACGCATTTCACGCGTACGCCCGCCCGCGTGGGTGCGTCATCGCCAATATTCCCATGCCTTTCCACATATGTTGATAGTCTCCATACCTACCTACGTTTGTGCGTCCCTCGCTGTGGACTATTTCTGCTACGTGCCTCAGTGCTGGTGACTGTGGACTCCGAGAACAAGACACGCATCGTTGGGCCAGGCTCTTCTGCGGAACGAGCGCACCGACTCTTTCAAGTTCGTGCTCGACCACTACAAGAAGCTGCGGCACGATATCCCTCCCAACGTAAGTTTGTGAGGTTGCAAGTTTGTGAGGTTATTGTGTCATGTACCACCGTTGGGCCAAATCGAATGATGGACATGTTTCATTTGCACCCCGAGTACGGTCGTTGCATTTCATGTTGGTGGTGATACTCGGCCCTCTCTTGGTTTGTCGGGCGTGCGTGATTTGCCGCAGTTTTGAAGATGTCCGCGGCGTACTGCTCTCGAAGCATGTGGCAGTAGCCGGAGGCATGTCCATATTTTATTCGAAACGAAATGCCCGGAAGACATGTGGACCCCGCAAGGTGTCAGTCGTGGTGCTGCTGATGTTCGTGCTGCTGATGTTCGCGGGCATGCGTCCCCGAGATCCTTCTTTATGTTTCATGTTTCTCGCCCAACAATCCGCCGACCTCCCCACGATTTGTACATGGCAGGTAGTTTTTACGGACGCAGACAAGGCCATGACTGCAGCTGTTGTGGACATCTATCCACTTGCTCTCCACCTGTACTGCATCTGGCACACCATCCAGAACATCATCAAGAAATGCAGAAGCGCCCTGCAGGGAGCGTTTCCGGACATGCTCAGCTACTTCCGGAAAGCAGCGTACTGCGCCACGACTCAGGTGACTACGCGCGCCCATTGTTGAATAGAGTATTCAACGCTCTTGATGCGAACGTTGGTATTGTTCGCTGACGTAAGCACGCCTGCCACATTTGTCGGCATGGACGTTTTGCGTGACGGTGATAGAAATATTTAGGCGACAGAGATGCCGTAATGCGCAAGGGAGATCATGTGTTCCTCCTAACCACGATCTTCGGATGGGGTTATTTAGCGAGGCTCATCTCTCCCCCCCCCCGGGTAAAAGGGAAGAATATGCACTGTTTCAAGGTGTTCAGACCACCACCCTTGCCTGTGAGGGCACACCACCTTGATGCACAACGCCC